TGTACCAAAGACTGAGCCCAAATCCTTCAATCTGCTCTCTGCTGGTAGCTCTGGCAAAGTCTAGTAAATTCCCTGAAATTCTTAGAGAGCTTGAGGCTGAAGTTTCAGCAAACAAGTCAAGTATAACATTTGATAATCCTAATGAAATTCTAAAGCATCTTAAAGAAAAGCTATGAAATAGCAGGAATACACCACATTTACAAACAATTCTCACCTCCCACTACTATATAAACTTACCACTTTCCAAGCCATGAATTTATCTTCTTACAAGAATTAAAGTAACTACTACACATTGGCTGTGTTCTACTTAAGAAAAGTAGTAAGACCTCCATGATTGTATCACCATCACAGCCATTAACCAAGAATGTGGATAGCAGATCTTCCCCACTATTTTTCTATACCTTTACATGTATAAACAAAGGTCTGAAAACTCCTTGAGAATCTGGGGAAAAAAAATGTCAAAGATCTCTAGCAAAAGTTATCTGGAAAAGACTTTAAACAGGGTTAAAATTTGCTCAGAAATATCAATTAACTGAAATTACTTTTCCTTATGAAAAATATGCCTAGCACAAATAAAGATCAAAGAATATATGTCATAATTATGTATACATACACATAGATATACATATAAACAGAGGGAGAGAGAGAGAGAGAGAGAGAGTGCGGCATTCATTCCCTAAAGACTAGGAAGTTTCTAAGGTATGTTCTGAACACCCTTTTCAGAAGGATTGTGATTAAGACAATATGCAGGTATGATTAAATAATGTTAATAGCAAAAACAAACACGAAATAAAGGTAACTATTACTATCTAGATATGCTCTCATAGACGCACCCTAGAAAATATATATAGTACTATTCAAAACTTTTCTAAAAAAGTAGTACTAATTTTTACAATCAAATTGTTAAAAAAATTAACACATTTATTCATATTATGTGAGCAGCCTTCCCCACAACTATCCCTTGCATACACAATATGAAAGGTGAAACTAAATCCAAGACTACCATAACCGTATCATTTCAATTTAAACAGAAAATTGGCATTTTTTCTCCTACTCAAACAATATTTGAGTCAGTTAAGTCTTCCACTGAGAAATAATCATGCACTGTATCATTAGAATAGCTGAAAATATCTTCTTAACATAAAACAAACAATACAACCAGCAAATAACAGAGCCGAAAAACAGAATAAACACTGTTTTCTAAGCCTAACTCTGGAACAATGACTGTTAGCCATTATCTTTAAAAATAAAGGCCCGGTTTCAATATTATATCTCCAGAGCATGGAAGCAAAGTGATTTCTCTGCTCTAAGTTTATATGATTTTTCCTCCTGCACTGTAAATATACTAAGCTCCCATAGGAGTAAGTATAAGTTTCCTATCTCTAAGTGTGTTAAGGCAAACACTATTAGATTCACCAGGCTCTGATATGTTTAGGGACCACGGCTCAGGGCAGCCACGCAGTTGGCTTCTGAATTCAAACTACTTTTGAATTCATTTAAAAATGAATAGAATAAAATAACTTTACTTTGTCCTGTAGAGGTTTTAGAAAACAAATTGCAATTTTGCGGAATGAAACACAAATGTTCTATTAAATGAATTTTTTAAAGAAATGATCTAGAATTCAGCAATGGAGATCAAGATTTTAAACATTTTAAAATCAAAAGCGAACCTGGATATTTTACATTAAAATTACCCTAATATACCCTTGAACATTCACTTGTTGATTATTCAAAAAAAAGTATCTATTGCATTAATATGATCATAAACTCAACTACTATTTCCCATATACTCCTAGTGTTTATAGATCCACTCTTAACAATAAGGTAAAGTCTAAAAATAAAACATGACTACCAAGAGATTCAATATATATTTATACTTATGTTTGCTTTCTCTAATACACTGACCTGTTCACCTGAAAAATAGGTAACTTAAACATCCACAAGTAAAATACAGTACACTGAGCATAAAAAGTAGGTAGTTAGATTTATATATCAAACTAAAAATTAAGTATTTCACAATTACCATGCATGGATGAACAATTAACAAGTTCATACAATACAAATAACAAGATAGGCAATAAATTATATGTTGGTAGAATGTTTAAGAGGTAAAAATGCACAAAATCACAGCACTGAGAAGTTCAGTGCTGGGATATGAATACAAGCCTGACAGTTCCTGGGACATAAAAAATAAGCCACAAATATTGGTTGAATCAGTTAACAAAACAGCTCCTAAATCTACCCTCTAAACTAAGGAAACTGTTGTGGCCATTAGGAAAAGAAAATTTGTTTGTACATCATAAATGTATTTTAGTCTCTCAAGTGTTATTTCCAAAAAGGGAGCCAAATTCTGCAAGTATATTTGGTAACTTTTCATAAAGGCAAAACTGGGCTGGACTTAAATAACCAGTCCTGAGTATAAATATAAACCAAAAGAAATAAATGAATTTGTTAACTGTTATTTTTGTTTCAGAGAATGTCTCAGTTTTAACAACAAAATCTCACCCAATATTCTCAAAACTTAAAAGTTATGATTAAACTAACACTATGGTTAAAATGCAAAAGTAGTAATTTTTAGAAATTAAATACAGATATGTCACTATTACATGTATATACAAGATATAAATATTATTTTTTACCCCTATAATCTCAATTGAATCATCTGAGTCAGAAACCCTATGACCTTTATTTCTAAAAACCTATTAACAAAATTTCATCTCTTTAATGCCCACTGTAAGCGTGTAATTATGTAAAGTTTCCTTACTTTACAAGTGGAAAAACTGAAATCATAGTCAGGGAAAACACTTTGCCCCTGGTGATTCAGAGTCAATCTCAGAGAACAGGCTGATAGGCACAATCTCAAACTCACCAGTCCAGAGGAATACAAACCACATTAGTGTTTTTTTAAAGATTCAACCCCCAAATCCACAACAGTACCAACCTCCCTGTAAAAAAAAAATTTGACAGATGAATCATAAATAATTCTAACACATAAAAAAGGCTCTGAGTTGCAGATAAGTCTCCGTGTTCCTGGCTCGTCTGGAAGTTGAAAGCAGCAGGGCCTTGAATATTAGGAAAATATGTGAAATACTGAGATTACTGCATCTTCTATTCCTTCAGGTGGAAGAGCAAGATCTGTTTATCTGGGTCACTTTTGACAAACACAAGGAAGACATGCTGGACACGTTTTCCACTTTAACTCCATGACCCAAATGCATTCCATTTGAGAATACCTAACTGAATTATTCAATTTAGGTGGAAAACCATCTGCGCAAAGCCCAAGTCGTCAGTTCTTACTGGCTATGAAAACAAAAAAGGTCAAGGTCAAGAGACTGAAGTTTCAGTAAACCTAGTCCAAGCTGAGGAGACAATCGCAACCAAGTGTGGGCATACTGCAACACACACAGCATCAGCTCCCCTGCAAGCAACACTGATTAAGGGCAGGTCAGACTAACGCCAGAGTACTTCTTTCACTCTCCTCTCTTACATCCAACTGCACTTTATGCTTAGTTTATTTTTTTGCCAAGAAGACTGATCTTAGTCACCTAAAAATTCTCACTGCAAAAGAAAGCCCTTGTTTAAACCCAAGTACAAACAAAAGCTCCTTTCCAATTATCCCCTGCAACTTCCCCAGTTGCTTTCATGCCTGGCTACTGAGCTCAGTCTACTTTGGCTGCTGGCCAGGTTCCTCTCTTCTTTCCTTGTCAGTGGTAAAAACTTGGAAAACACTCCTGGACAGCTCAAGGAGACCTTTTAATTATGCAGTGGGGCAGCATGTTAGCCTGTCTGCTGTTTCCAGCAAGGGTTGCAGTCCTCAGCAGCTGCCTTCTCCCCATTGGTGGATTTTCTAGCAAGGTTACACGTTTCTGTGGTGGAAGAAGGGAAAGACTGGCAGAAAAAGGGGACGATTTGAAAATGTGAAAATTTTCCTATTCCTTTCAGTTTTTCTTACCTCCTAACATTCACTCTGTCTCATTACCACCCTTCTTTACCACCTTATTCCGTTGGGTACCACAAGCACAAAATCATTAGGACCAGGGTATGCTACCAGCCCTAGAAATTAAAAGCAGAGTTATTAACTACAACTATCTCCAAAAGCTTTCATCTTCAAGTATTGATGCAACATTTTTTAAAACAGGTTTCCAAATAAATTTATTAAATGCTTCCTAACTGATTGCATTACACTTTGTCAAACTTGCTGGCTGAAATACCTGCACGTCAATTGTCTGATTGCAAGTGAAAGTAAGGCGAATCCAGCTGGGAAAACTGCTGGAACCCACGAAGGAGTGTACCCTGACCATCAGCCTGCACTTACTAGCGTTCTGCCCAACGTACTAAGTGGACTTGCCAAGTGCAACACCAACTAAGTCTTCCTTACTCTACCCTGGCACGCTAGTTCCAGCTGCAGCGTCCAGCTTCCCGTTCAAGTCCCATTCAACATCGTAAACACATTCCAAGAAAACCAGCCTGCCCAGAGTTCGCTCCAGCACACAGCGAAGTCGCGCGGCGGCCCGAGTTGCTCAGGGAGGAACAGAGCGCCTGCGTGCGTTCTGATCCGTGTGTGATCAACACCCGGGGAGGTGGACGCGGGCGTGCGAGCTCCGCACCGCATTCTCATCACCCCGCCACGCCGTGAGCCCCTAGAACACAGCGCCCCCCAGAAGGGAACACTGGACTCACTCGGCCAAAGGGTGGCCGTGTGGGCGCTGCCCCTGAGTTTGGGCCTTCCCAACCCCCGCCTTTAAAGGCTTCTCCTCCCGGCCACAGAGCTTCGCGCCTCCCCGCCCCCATGCCCACACGCTCTCCCGGGGCCAACAAAAGGGAGGTTACGATGGAAGAAGTTTCGCCCCTGGGTCGCCTCACTGTGACCCGACGGTGACTTGCCTGCTCATTCCAGTCTGGTCTATGCACTCTTAGCTCTCAGCAGCACGGGTCCACGGGCGCCCCACCGCCACCCTCCCGCTCCTGCCCACCGGCCCCAGCCCCCAGCCCAAAGTTACCACAAAGAGCTTGAGGAGGCTCCTAGGGCTGGAAGCCCGCAGCGTCCCCGACCTCGTTAGGCTCCCGCGTCATCCCTCCTGCACTGCCACAGCAGTCGTCAACAGGTCTTAGCCTCCTCTCGGGCTGGACAGCCCCTGCGCCTTTCACAGTCCTAATTTTTCAACCTGCTGGGCAGCGCGCAGCCCCGTGCCCTCCTTCCCCGGCGCCCACCGCCAGGGCTGACCGCCTGCCCACCAGTTTGAAAGAAGGATATCAGTTTAAAAGAGATTGCACGCTACCTGGCGGTAGGCGGGCTCGCAGCCAGCGAAAACCCCGAAGTCGTCTCTCTCCGTCCCTTACGGACCAATGCAGTCGGGTCAGGCTTCGGGCAAGGGTGTGGAGAGCTGCAGCGTCTCGGAGCCGGGCGGTCTGGGCTCCAGCACGGCCGGGGCGCCGTTTCCGTGGCCCAGAGGGAAAGTTTCTCTACGTCAACACGGTGCTGGACTCGGGACCCTCCGGCTCCGGTCCCCTCCCTCCTTGCGCTCTCTGCCCCCTCCCTCCTCTTTCTAACGGGCAGGAGCCAAAACTGGCGCCGGCGGCGGCTGGGGCGCGAGGCTCGGGACTCCAAGTCGCTCCCGGCTAGGAACGCGGGGCTCCCCCTCTCGGCCAGAAGGAAAGGAACTCTCCTAGACTCCGGCAGGCGGCAGCTGGCAATCTCCTTGGACCAACTTGCAAACGGGACGCCTGTATTCAAGCCCCTCTACTTTCTTCAGTCTCTGATGGTCGTTTTCTATGGGCCCACTGGGCTATCTGGTATTGGCACTCAGAACCGAAGTGGGAGAGCTGGTGGTTAGAGAAACCGGGCTTTAGGAGAAGAAGCCTTACCTTAACTTACCCTGTCCTTAGCCAAGGACAGAGGCCAGACGCAATTTCTCCCATCCCCACCCTCAAACGCCACCGAGTTGTCTTTTGAACTTCCAACCTGAAGCACTAGATCAGGACTATTCGGCTTCCTTTCTATGTGCTTCCTAACACAATTTTAAAACACCTCTGTGGCTTAATAAGAAAAAGAAGTGTCAAAAGTAGCACACACACAAAAATAGTAGAACACGCCTTCCCTACAGCCTTTATCGAGAAAGTATTGACACAGTTGCTGTTATTCTGATGGTACATCTTCAGATTTGTTCTCTCTTTTTTAACTCAGTGTTAATCTCTACACTTTATTATACCTTAAAAGAAAATGAAAACTGCCTCAACCACCAGACATGCTCATTTGCTCCACTCAGATGCTTATTTCAGAATTCAAATTTTCTGTATAGGGTTTGAGGGAAAACAACAAACCATTCTTACTGACCTTGTGAGTAACCTTACTGATCTTAGAAACCTCTGTGTGGGAAGAAGGCTAAGAAGTATCCTCATGTTAGACATTCTTAGAGGAGGAGAGAACCTTTCCTCGAGTTTCTTGAGACTGTGCTCAGAATTTAGTTTACTAAATTTTAATTTGAATGCAAAAGGAGATGGATAAAGGAAAAGAAAACATTTTGCAAGGCTAGCAAATATAACGTGTACAGTGGAATCCAGGGCTTAGAATCAGACAAGCCAGATTCCTTTCCAGATTCCATACTTACTTATTCTGGGCCCCGAGACACTCAACACAATTACAACTGCCAAAGGGAATTATAGAATGGGACTCACAGAGTCACGGTCACATTTACAGGAGTTCACCTGGAATGGTGTCAGGCATAGAGAAGGTACTGAGAAAATATTTGGTTCTAATATCCCACTGTATTTGACCATAATTAGCAGAAGATGGCACTGGAAATTTCCCCCAGAGATCTTGTTAACTGTATCAGTTTTCTTCTCCCTGATGCTTTTTCCATTAAAAAAGATACAGCACAACAATTTTTGAAATGGAAACTAAGTTTAGGGATCACATAGCCCTTTCCAAACTCCCCTATTTAAAATACAAGGCAACTGAAGTCTAAGAATCTTAATTGACTTTCCCTGACTCTCATGGTTTGGAAGTGCTAAAGCTAGGACCAGAAATCAGACCTCTCATACTTGGGCCAGGGTTCTCTTTTCTTTATGCTTTCTCATTTATCACAACCGTCAAGCACACAGTAAAATAATTATATTGAAAACATCAATCTGAGGACAATGCTAATTGCTTTTTCTGTAAATAACCTTAAGCAATAATTCATTTAAACTATTTATAAATAATAGTAAATAAACAATTAATTTTAAAACAACCCCTATTAAATAAAGTATACCATTTAAAAGATCACTTAGTATCTATGTGATTATAAAAAGAAATGGTAGCCCACTACTTAGGAATAAGGAGGTTGACCAGACAACCATGCCATGCTTACTTTATATAATTATAAAGATGGGTCTTTTTTTTTAACACAGTATTGTAAAAATCTGATAGAGAAATCTAGAATTCCAAGAATACATCAACAAATCACTAAGATCTACTCACTCTACACTGAGAAACACTAATCAGACTATGATACACTACAGCTCCCCTTGGACAAAGCACAGGGCATAAAAACAAATCAGGGTGCAGCATCAAACATTATAACCTCCTTCCTATGAATTTATGGAAAATCTCATAAGATGTACTTCTTATTTATTTGGCTGCAATAGCCTTAAAGAGAAGTCCTTCTGTACCCTTTCTCACCTATTCAACATTAAATGTCATTTAGACTTTTCCAGAACTTCCAGGTTCTCAAATATAAGACTATATGCTCCAAGTAGGGGTTTCTACTACTCCATCCTCCCCCTTAATTACCCACTAAAATAATTTCTTGAAGACAGTTCATAGCCTTCTCTTTAGAGGTCCATGCTCCCTTTCTCATGACATTTGGGAGTTACCAAAAAGAGAAAATATATTTAACTACAAAATGCATCCATCATGAATGGATGAATGGGAATGCATAAAACCCCATAACTGTTTTTTCCAATTGTTGAATCCCTGTGAGAGATTACTCATTTTTATATTTTCTCCCAATGTTTAAAGTCTCTAAACTTGCGATTGCATTGTAATTTTTATACACTGAATTTTGATATGAACTGCTTTATGAAATGGCTTAGAGGTATAAACATCTCTAGGATGTCAGAACCAAGTTTTTAAAAACAGTAAAACCAAATAGGATATTTTAAAATCAGATCTATAACATGCCCCAGGAACTGAAGAAGGGAGATCCCAAGGACAAGGGTTTAAGAGGCTCTGGCAGGGCACCACCATTAGAATATATCTAATTCTACTAATCAAAAATACTCAGATTTCCATTTGAAAAGCCTTCACATTTGACATAGGCACATATGGACTCTGATAAAGATTTGGCAACTTTCCCATATTTTTTAACTTTATGGCTCAACCCAGATTGAAGTTTCTCTTACTTAAACTAAAAGAGTATTGACTAAGACAACTGCCTGTTAAGATATGTTGACAATAACAATTTTATTGTTGATATTACAAAAATACACAAAACCCACTGGTTGTTTAGCTCTATATTCCTGCAAGCCCATCATTTAAATTACTTGACAATGTTTTTTTAAAAAGGAAGTAAAAACCAAGACAATTCAAAATCTCAGCTGTGTGAACTGAAGAAGGGACTTGTTCCTTTTCATTATGTGCATCAGTAGGCCACATTTTATCCACCGTGTTCCTAATGGAAGCCAAGTTCCAAAGTCAATGTGTTACATTTAATTTCTACCTTCCATCATTTTATCTCTTATGCTATTTTGGTCCTCCTGATTAAGAACATGAAACATACCCTTTGCAAAAAAAAAAAAAAATGAATAAGGCAATACAAAAAAGAAATAAATACTGCCTGTATTTCCATCACCAAGAGTACCTACCCCTTGCCAACATTTGCTTTATACCCTCCAAGGATTGTTGAGGTCTCTGAGAGACTCTCCAGTGAATAACATCTCTTCTGTACACATAAGTTGGGAATAAGTTGAGAAATAAAACAAAAGTTTAAAATGGTAGCTAAAATATTTCTTGTATTACTGACAGAGACATGTTTGAGTTGGTCGATCTGAAAATAAGCAACCAAAATAGCAGCCTCATTACGTGGTTCCTGGTCTCCCTACCTAGGAAGAGGTGGTGTCTTTGAAAAAGGAGTTGAATTCTGTTTCCTGAGATCCAGTCCCTAGAAAGAAATAAAGAGAGGCAGAGGGAAGAAGAAGGAGAGAGAAAAGACAGATGTAGCTGAACTCTGCATGCCCAATAATTCTTCCCAAGTTTATTCTTAAATATATTTATCAAATCTGTCACAAGATCTATCCAAGGACAAATGAGTACAGCTTGAGAAAAAAATGTTTTATTGTGGAAATCAGGAGTAAAGAAAAGGCATTACCCAGTATCTACAACCATTTACATTTTTCTTTCCCTCTTTTTGGCAAGTAAGTATACTTTGTAACAATATAACACTATATCAGGGCTTTTCCACTACTAGTGTTTACTAATAATTTTTCTCCTATTATAAACAAAGGAACTAGGGCCATCTGTACATGTATTTGCCTATCCCTTGCCAATTATTTCCTAAGAGTAAATATCTAGAAATGAATTCTGAAGGATAAAATACAGACTTTTTATTATTATTTTGAAAAAATTTCAAGTTACAAAGATGTCAAAGATAGAGTTACAAAGAATTATTTTCCTGAACCATTTGTGTGTAACTTCTTGTACCCCATCCTCCCCTAATACTTTTGTGTGCTTCCTATGAACACAGCCCTCTCCATAAAGAAGGCAAACTATCAAAACTCAGAAAATTTAAACTAATGCATCTCTACCATCTACCTCTCAGGACCCATTCAAGTTTCTTCAAGTATCCCTATTATGTCTTTTGTAGAAATAGGATCCAGTTTGATGTCACATGCTACATATTATTATATCTCTGTGACTTTCATGACTTGAGAATTGCACTATTTATTGCAAGATGTCCTTTAATTTATTGTGTTAGATTTAGATAATGAATCTTTGGCTGGTAAAACATGGAAGTATGATACTGTCCTCTTCTTTTTTTTAAATTCTTTCAAGTTGTACCCAGTTTTGACTTGTCCCATAACAGATGATCTTCACTTGATTAAGGTGCTGGTATCTATCAGGCATTTCCTACATAATGTTATTTCTTTTCCTTTGGCAGAATTTTCTGAGGAGGTACTTTAAACTACTTCAATATTTTATTCTTCCTCACATTTTAAATTCATTCATTTATTCATTTATATTAATATAAACACACGGTTTCCTATTTTACTCAA